ACCTTTAGAATCACCTGCCCATTGAAAAATAAAATGGCATTTTTCATCTGTAAACAAGAGAATCTTAAATGATATATGCAAACTGTGTTAAATGTACCCTCTGCTTTGTACATTTCTTTTTTACCAAGATTAAATGTATAGGTACTAAAATTAGGTTGTTAAAAATCATATCTACTTTTCTTCTTTTTTTTTTTAAATTCATGAGTTGGGGGAGGGGAACAGTGTTGGGAAATTGGGGACGGGAACCAGCCAAATTGCTGTTCTTCTTTCTTAGTTGTGGAGGCTATCAGTCACCATCTGTCTGTCCATCAGCAGCTCGTGGACTCTAAGCTCAAGATGCTATGTTACAATCTTAGTTGCGGGTGGGCATAGCCAATATCCCATGTGGGAGTCGAACCAGCAGCCTTCTTCTTAAGAGCACACGGTCTATCTACTGAGCCACTCTGGCGGCAGCTCTGCTTAAGGTGCCCAGTTCAGTCTTAGTTGCGGGCAGGCGTAGCCTCCATCAAACAGGCAGTCTTGTTGTTAGGAGCACGTGCTATCACCAGCTGAGCCATCTTGGCAGCTCAGCTCGGGTGCAGCATCACTGGCCCATGTGGGAATCGAACTGGCCTTCTCAAATGCCTGTTTCTCAGAGCTCGCACTCTTAAGCTAACTCTTAACCAACTGAGCCACTCGGCCAGCCCCATGTCTACTTTTCTTAATATTTCATTTGAAATGTCACAATTTACAAAAATTTATTTTTTCATTATCATATTGAATTACCACGTGCCTAAGTATAATCATGGAAATGCCAATTAACGTAGCTGGTAGCTGGTAATATGGTATAATTAGGACTTTCCACGCCAGTGTTAAGGTAATGGGGCTAATAACCAGAAAGAGGAAGGTGACCATCTGGTTCTGGTGTGCACTGGTCAGAACACATCGCTGAGAATTAGGTTTATTTGGGGCACAATACTTTAGGATAGGTATGTCCACAAACTGGAGCAGTCAGAGTAACCAGAGTAAATGGGAAACTGGAAACCATACCATATGATGAATGGTTTTAGGAACTCTGGCTGTTTTCCCCCAAAGCAGGAATCTCAGTAAACATGAGAATTGTCCTCACATATATAAAAGTTAGCCATATGACAGAGGAATTAGATCTGTTTATGCATGACTTTAGGTTGAGAGAGCTAGAACCACAGGCTGGAAACCACAGGACCACAATATTAGTTCAATATAACAACTTTCTAACCATCAACCTTAACTCCCTGAGGAGGTAAAAATTGCACATCACTGCAGGTGCTCAGAGCTGCTCTTGATTGCCACCCAACACAAATATTATAAACGTAATTCTAGCCTAAAGTAGGGGAATTGAATCAGAAGACCTTTATGTTCTTGATTCTAACGTAATGGATTCTTTTTATTCAAATTTATTATCTTTGTAAAAATCTCTATATAAAGCAATTTTCTAGTCTTAATAAAAATGGGGATAAAATTGATAATATAAAAATTGCACTTTCCAATGAACAATCTGAAAAGAAAATAAAGAAAATAATCATTTACAATAGCATCCAAAAAATAAAACACCTGGGAATAAGTCTAACAAAGGAGGTGAAAGACTTGTACATTAAAAATTACAAAACATTTCTGAAAGAAATTAAAGAAGACCATAATAAATGGAAAGAATTACCATTTTTAAGATGTTAATACTACCAAAGCAATCTACAGAGTCAAAGCAATTGCTATCAAAATTCCAATTGCCTTTCTTACAGAGATAGAAAAGCTAATCTTCAAATTCATATGGGATTGGTAGGAGCCCTAATAGCCATACACTCTTGGAAAAGAAGAACAAAGTTGTAGGACTCACACTTCCCAGTTTCAAAAACACCAATATTCGAAGCTACAGTAATCAAAACAGTGTGGTACTGGCAGAGAGAGAAAGAGGGGAGGAGGGAGCGAGGGAGAGAGGGAGAATAGATAGATATTCCAAAGGACTAGACTCAAGAGTCCAGAAATAAACCCATACATAGATCTATGGATTTGTGGTCAGTTGATTTTGACAAGGGTACCAACCTAGTCAATAGGAAAAGGAATAGTCTCTCAACAAATTGTGCTGGCACAACTGGATTTCCACATGCAAAAGAAAGAAATGGGACCCTTGTTACCTCACACCATATAGAAATTCAACTCAAAATGGACCAAAGACCTAAATATAAGAGCTAAAACTATAAACTCTTAGAAGAAAACAGAAGGGCAAATCTTCTTGACTCTAGATTTGGCACTAAGTTCTTAGATATGA